TGTAAGCTCGCTGTCCCTCTGTCAGTGGAACCTGTGTTAGAGGAAATGGAATTGAACACAGGGAGTGAGTAGCATGTTTTACCCATACAGTATCATGGCAGGAACCTGAGATTTTCCCTTTTGGTGACTTCTTTTTTAAAAAGCCAAGAAATAAGTGATAAATTTTTTTTCTAGATCAATCATAGCTTTGAAAAGTGGTTGATATAGCATGAGGTCCTATTGGGGAAATGACAAATCTGTGTCCCACTGTTTTCCTCTTGCAACTGAACAAGGCATATATATATTAGGGAGTGTAGGAGCTAGAGTATGAAATAGATATTTTTTATAAAATGTCTGCTGTACTCTAATGGAGTTGTGAGCACAATCATAGTCTAACTTCCTTATTTTTTATATTCAGTAAAAAGCAGTTTTTAAAATCTTTGCAAATATGTGTCTCCTTATGAAATTAGAGTTAACAAAGAATGGTCTCAGAGGGACTGTAATCATTAAGGTGTGTGTTTTTTGAGTAAATGGGAGGATGATTTTTTTAAATACACTTAAAATCATGAAGATTTAGAATTTTCCAGAATATTTTATATTTTCTAATTGCTTGCTCCTCTCACAAAGCACGAAGGGAAGGTACAGGCAATTTAAGAATATATGATACTTGGAATCCCTATCTTCTTCTATGGCCAAGGTATATAATGAATTTTAAGCTTTGAGAACCTAACCATTTCCCCTATTCCATCAACTGTGCATAAATTTTTTAAACTGTGTTTTTAGTGTACATTCATGCCTAGTTGTGAGAAATAATATGGAGAAGTCCATGTACCCTTCACCCAAATAACATCTTGCAAAGATGTTACAACTAGAAAATTGACATTGATACAGTTCACCAATCTTATTTGGGTTTCACCAATTTTACATGCATGCATTTGTGTGTGTGTGTGTGTGTGTGTGTGTGTGTGTGTCTGTATTTAGTTTGATTCAATTTTATCACATTTGTAGGTTAATATATCCATCACCACAGTCAACATACAAAACAGTTCTATCACCACAAAGATCCCTTGTGCTGTGTTTTTTTTAATTCTTACTTTTTATTGACATATAGTCGAAGCAATTTAGTTATACATATACATACATATGTATATTTTTTCAGATTATTTTCCACTGCAGCTCGTTACAAGAAGTTGAATATAGCTGTGGTGTTATAACCACACTCATGTCCCTCCCCATCCCCACCAACTCTTACTATCCTTAACCTTTGGTAACCACTAATCTTTTCTCTATCTCTTTCAACTTTATTTATAGAGTTTTTGATTGTATCACTTTCACTTGTATGTTTTCTTAGTAGTTGATCCAAGTATTGAAATACTATACATTTAGGACTTACCACAGTCTACCAGTTTTATCGCTTCTAGTCAAGTATGGAAACCATTAGGTTCCTTTGCCCTGTCCAGTTTTTACTTGTCTTGAGCATTCCTTCCATATGTGTCGCACACTGCATCAGTCAATGTTAACAATTTTTGTTTCAAACATCATGTAATGGAGAAAACTCAGGAGAAGAAGGATATTCTATATTGTATCTATCCCAATTTTTTGTTCTTTCAGTTGTTCTTTTTTCCTTCTTGATGCTCCAAAATTTCTTCTATTCTAAGAACTTAACTTCTTGAAGACAAATCTGCAAGGGAAACATGTTCTTAGTTTTCCTTTTTCTAGGAATAGATTTCTTTACCCTTGATACCTGGAAGTCAGTTTCTCTGGATAAGAATCCACTATTGACAGTTCTTTCGTTTCCACACTTTGAAAAATATGCCACTCCTTTGACCTCCATGATTTCCAATGAGAAATCTTTTATCATATGAACTAGTGTCCTCTTACATGTAATACATGTTTCTCTCTGGCTGCTTTCAAGGTTTTTTTTTTTTCTGTTTGGATTTCAGGAGTTTAGTTTTAATGTATCTTGGTATGGGCTTCTTTGGGTTTATCTTATTTCAGTTTGCTCCTCTTCTTGTTTTTGTAACTGTATTTCTTATACCAAACTTGTGAAGATTTTGATCACTATTTCTTAAATTCTTTCAGCTCCACTCTCTTTCTCTTTTTTTGGGACTCATATGGTACCCATGTTGGATATTTTGTTATTCTCCTACAAGTCCTTGAGGCTCTGTTTATTGTTTGTTTATTTTTGTTTGTTTGTTATTTTCCAATCTATTTTCTCTCTCTTGTTCAGAAAGGGTGAATTTTATTGTTTTATCCTTAAGTTCACTGATTATATCCACTGACATCTACATTGTACTATTAAGCCAATCTCGTGAGTTGTTATGGTTATTGCATTTTGACTTCTATAATTTCCTTTTGGTTCTTTTAAAATAATTTTTATATTATTTTGCTTTCTTTATTTATTATTTGTTTTAGGATAATTAGTAATTATTTGTTAAAGCATTTTTAACATGGGCATGGCTTCTTTAAATTCGTTGTCAGATAATTTCAACGTCTGTTTTAACTCAGTGTTAGCACCTATTGATTTTTTTTTTGCCTTTCATTCTTTCTCAACATTTTTTATTGTTTTTTTTATTGAAGTGTAATCAGTTTGCAATGTTAGTTTCAGATGTATTGCAAAGCGAATCAGTTATACAAATACATACATACATATATATTTTTTCTGTATCTTTTCCATTACAGCTCATTACAAGAAATTGAATATAGTTCCCTGTGCTATGCAGTAGATCCTTATTGTTTATCTATTTTGTATATAGTAATGTATATCTGTTAATCCCAAACTCCTAGTCTATCCCCCCCACATAGATTTTCCCCCTGGTAACCACAGTTTGTTTTCTATGTCCGTGAGTATGTATCTGTTGATTATTTTTTCTCATTCAAGTTATGTTTTTCCTGGTATTTGGTGTAACCAGTGATTTTTTTTTT